TACATATTTTTGTGAGGCATAAAAGTGTTGAGTGTTGGTTTTCAGTGATCCGTAGGTATCCCTCTTTTCTTATAGGTAACAATATGATACATTTTGTTTATTCGACCTTTAGTGAACTACAGAATTTCAGTAGTAACCGGTGTCACATGTGTTTAATTATTTGATCATTGATTTAAATATTACATGTAATTTTTCGAAATAAATTATTCAACTTTAAAAAATGAACGACTTATTAATGTGAGACTATAGTTAAACACTACACCCTGATAACAAGTGATATTAGAATTAATTTGATTTTTGGAGGATAGCAAAGTCAACATTATAATTCATCCAACGCTGCGATAAATCTGTAACTCATTAGTGAACAGCTTCAAAGTAGATCTGTGTTGAGAAATTATAGCTGGTCAACTCTGAGGTGTTGGATGTAAAGACAGTTGTGAATGAAACTGTATTGTGTCAAGACTTCTTGCTAAATTGATAGGTGTTGAAACACACAAATTAGTTAGGTTGAGAAGATTGACCGGATAGTGTTTGCCTATCCTAAGACTGCTGCATAGTAGTGTACTATGAAAAGTAGATATTATTATTATTTTTTCCTTCACGTTCCAAGTGGAACATAGAGCGTCAAGCTATTGGTTTGAAGTTTCTGTAGCAGTGGTGTTTATTTTTACAGGATGGAGTTGCTAGCCTCATGCCTAACCTTCTATCTTTGCCAGCTTTATTACTGGCCTAGCGAGATAAAGGAGTTCGTCGGTCGAGGATTGAACTCAGACCATGTGCATGGTTGGCAAGCGTCCTAACCGCTATGCCACCGACGCACTTTGAAAAGCAGATAAACTATAACATATTTACAGTGTTCCTTATTCCTAATGGTTATCTACGCAAAGTTGGTTTGTCACGAAGCTTAGTCTGATAATGAATACAGTGTTCCCCTCGTAAAGTTGACAATAGACTTAGGTAAAACTGATTTCGATGAATGACGGTATAAACCGTGTATTGTAAAATCTTGTTATCATACAAAGGCGATAAACGAAAAGTTGGCAGTACACAAACATTTCGCTTAAAACCAGTTTAGGCAGTAGTTTTACTGAAATCTGATCCCATTTCAAGTGCTTTGAAATACTTTTCTTTTAATCATTTATCAGTATTTGTAGCAGATAATCCAGAAAGAAACTGACCCATCTTATTTATCTTTTATTTTATTTTTGATTACAGCTTCATTCCTCACTGTATTTTTGGTACAGGTATGGAATTTTCAGCATGGATATCGGTAGCCCAAATTTCTCAGGCCGACTATAGATATCAGATGTGGGTCGGCAGGGGATCGAACCTCGGACTATGTGCATGGTCGGCGAAAGTCCTAACCACTGTGCCACCGACGCAGTTATACTAGTTGAATTAATTCTACCCCTGTTTAAATGCAATAACTTATCCTGCATACTGTGTAAAACTGATTCGCCAGCATGTATAGTGAACGTAATAAAAGCTTCATTAGTATAACTTCTAGCAAAACTACATACTACAATTCTTCTAACTGATAAACTTGAAGATTTTACGTGATGTTAGCGAACCCCCCCCCCTTCCCCACTTTTCAATGAAATATTGAGTAAAAATGATAATTATTCCCACTTTGTATTTGCTTAATGACTTCAAAACTTATTATCAACTTTAGACAAGTAGCAATATATTAATTAGTAGTAAAATTTATAATCTGTGTCCCTTAGAAATACACTGAGGTACTGTATAGTAATTATCGAAGTTAGACAAATGTGAAGATAATCAGAGCTGACTCACATTTACCTTTCTTCCTCTGTTATATTTTATCCCAGATGAGATATTCACGATTTAGAATAAGGTTATTCTTTTAGAAACAATTTGAAATTGTATTATGTAGTACTGTCATCGATAATTGTTACCACCTTGAAGGGAAATCTTGTGGAATCTCTACTTAGTTAACTAGTTAGTTAGTTACTAAGTAAGTTAGTTAGTTAGAAATTATTTACTCGCAACAGACTTCTCATGTACTCAGATATGATTCAGGCTTATTATGTGACAGCTAATCATACAAAATAGTTACCTAGGCTGAAGTAAATGAAGAGCATCCCCCGACTGGTTAAGCCGAAAAGTAATACCCCTCCCGATACGAGTAGTAGATAAGTAAGAGTGAGAAACTCCAGTCTACAATTATCCAGTTATTAATATGACTTTATATTTGAAATTTGAAATGATCGTTTGATATATGTGTGCAGTTGTTTGTAATTAAAATAGAAGGAATATTGAAGTTTCTCTGAATACAGAATAAAAACAATAAAAAATCCTAATATTAAAAGCGTATATAAATACGGCTGGTTATAAGAGGATTTTAAAAGAATAATAATTTCATCCAATTTAGATTCCATCAATTAGGTGAAAACCAAACGAGGACAACATACATACATATTATTATTATTATTATTATGTCTTCACCTTCAATCGACTACAGTGTTAAGAAAGAAAGCATCGAATTTCAGGAAGACTGATTTGGACTAACTCTGCAGTATTCTTCGTCAGTTAAACATTCATTAATAAAGGATTACAAATTTAATCGTGTCACGATTAGTACCAGTACTACTAATCGTCATAATATTCAGAGGTAAAAGATAAAAACTAACGTCTTAGTCACCCGTATAACAGCCAAAAAGATTATTGTATTCTACAACAGTAAACCAAACCGGTTAACACCATTCACGGGAAATCACTAACCGATACAGTCCTGTCAAACAGACAGTGACAATTTCACATCACCTGATATCGAGATCGTCTGTGATGTTGACGGACTTTCACAGCTTAAACATACGAACAAAGAAACAAACTAGAAAGTTAGTGTATCCAACCAACCATGTTCGAAATAGAAATGAGAAAGTACAACTTGAATCCTAGTCTCAGTCATTATCAACCAACTAAGCCAAGATTTCAATTTGCTCAAGTGCGATATCACCACCATATCACCATCACTTCAGTGAAGTGTGAAGTGCACTGATGACCAACTGTCAAGAATTAATTTGAACACAATAGTAGAAGGATTAAGTTCGATTACTAACACGATAAAAATATATAACACCAATCTTCATGAAGACGACAATTGTTTAGAACAATCTGACCACGTCTAGGAAATTAAAAGAGGATTTTATCAAAGTGTCTCGCTGCCTGAGTCAGAGCTCCTTCATCAGAATTCCTCAGACTGTATCAGACGACTTTTCAAAAATACCCGATTAATTATTCACAAGTACCTGAAGCGAACCGAATGAAATATTGAGGGAGTATTTGATTGGGCACTCACTAGTAACTAGTGTGATGTATCTAGTTCAACCAATGTATCAAATACAGTCCTACAGGAGGTCAGTCGCGAGCCCGAATACCTCAGTGGTAAAGTTTCCGACCGAAGCTCTGGGTGACGCAGGTTCGAGTATCAGAAGGGAAATGAGTTCCTTCAAGCTGGAAGATACGCCTCGCCGACGAGTGTCAGCTAGCACGAGTCCTATTTCCAAGGCTACCTGCTGATCACCTCATACCATCTAATATCACTGAGGGAGTATCCTGTACTCGTTTTTTTTTATTATAATAATTGAGTCGAATTCGGTGCTCAGACTGTTGCAGGATACTCACAATCTCTCTCGTCTGGATATATTTGTAAGAGTGAAAATAGAATTTATTGAAGGATAATAGCATGTCACTCAGGATGAGGTAATGAATGATAAATAAATGAAATAAGTCAATTAAGCAATTTGATCAGTTCAACTGGAAGACACACTGAAATTATTTCCTGAATTATGCATTTATGCATCTGAGATAGACTGCTGTCTCATTTTTCACAACACAAAGTGGTAAGCACAATTGTACACAGATGACTTATATTTTATTGTCAATAAATTATTCTAAGCTATGACACTGTACAAAACACTGGGCATTTCTATTTGGACACAGTTTCAAATAGGATTGGCAGATACGTATTTTAAACATCATCAACAACTTTGAAAGTAAAAAAATGCAATGCCATTCAAAAAAAATAATTATAATCCCATCAGTTTAAAAATTTAATTGTGATAACATCTTCATAATACTGAAATCGATGTGTAAATCTAAATCAGGCTTGAATTATGTTATCTGTAGATGATTCTTAAATAGCTTCTTCAGTCACGTTTCTGAAGATTCTTATTAAATCCAGTATGAAAAAGAAAACAAAAAGATCGTTGATAGACCTCACTCATATTCAAAAGATATTATCCATGTTTACTTCTGACTTTGTCACACTATGTCCAGCCGCAAAGTCCTTATAACCACACTACCATGTAGAAGGGAAAGGCACGTGAATTGTAATTGTATAACAACTGAAAATGATATACCTTTAAAGGTATCTTCTCAGGAGTTTCATGTCCTAATATATATATATATTTCATAAATTTGCAAAATCACACCATTGAATGTTTATAACTGTTTTTTTTCTAACGTCCTCTTTTTGAATTGCTTATCTGACTTACAGTGAGGACTTAGCATATTCTCAGATCATTCAGTCACATATGGCAATATGAGTCGATAGAACAGCCTAGCAACATGCTGGATACTGTCATATCCTTATTATCTTTGTAATGCAATAAAGTCTAAGTCATTTTCGTAATTCATGAGATAATAGTGTTCACTATACTTACTGATTTACTTTTAGTGTTAGTTATCCAAATGCCAATAGACCAGATGATTCGACAAAGTATTCACTTCAATGTTTCGTCGTTATTATCCTTTTATGGAATGATTATTCTGATAATTAAGAATATATTAGAACATCATAGAGGTATGATAACAGTTTAAGCCGTTAAAATAAATGTATAATATATATATATGTATCTTTTACTTACCCGTGTAGTACTCTTCAGTTTATATATGTATTTTAAAAAAATATTGAAATCAAAGAAGGCTTCAGAAGCATCAAAAATCGACTCTCCAACTTTTCGTTCTCCCTCTTCTTCTTATTGTTCGTCTTCTTCTTCTTCTTCTTGTTCTGTTGATCTTCTGAAAAGTGGGTGAAATCGATCGATGGATAGACATTCAGTGAACAAATCAAAAGACAGTCTTCAATGCAAAGTGATACATGCGTGTATATTCCTCATAAGAATTTTAGAAGAGAAATAATAAGAAAGATAAGCGAAATATATTTATATCCCTTTATTTTTTTTAGTACTTACCTATCTTTCAGTTTGTTTTGTAGTTTCATCATTATTTGCAAAATAAATATGGCGAAAATTGGGCTACACTGAGTTGAACTGGTCTATAAAAAGTAAGTGAAAAATAATACTCCTTCATTCCACTACTTTCTGTATGCCACTGGTTTAGAAATGCAGTTGTACTGAATGTTAATAGGCAAAATTTCCCCTTGGATATTATAAGATAATTCAGTTATCACGCTTACTTCTTCAAAGTTGATTTTCTATTCGTAAATCCAATTGAGAATTCATCCTCCTCAATTTGTTGATTGGTTAATTGGTTTAAATTTGAATTTCTCTTCCCTTATCTCTTATAGGTTGATCTGTGTTTCTTCCATATTCATTAAAGGGTGGAGATGGTGGTAAAGAATGAAAATAAAATGTATATATGTGTACATGTATGTAGAGATGTCTGCTTGTGTGTGGAAGAGAAAGTGTATCCTACGTACACATTCAATTTCCATGTGTAGGTGGCTAGCTGATTAGAGGGAAGGTTATGCTAATTTAGAATTATTCACATATTCTAGTTACACTGATTTCTCTCTCCTATAATAAATACCTCAGCATTTATACGAATAGAAGGATGACAGTGAGAGATAATTTCTAAGACTGCAATAACGAAGAAATTAGATACATTGGATTCACATAGTGTATTTAATGCAGTGTAAACGCTGAACTACCTAATTCAGCTGCCTTTTTATACCAAAATAAGATTAAGGTCATTAATTAAAAGTGTGTGAAAAAAAAGCTGATTGGACGAATACATTTGTTATTCTATTCAAAGCAATAAGTTGAACAGAAATATTCAGTGTTTCTTGAATTTCACTATTAGCTTTAAAGACTTCTCTACTAATCTTATCAGTTGGCATTTTATTAAGATAATGGCTTAATTTTAGAGAACGTATTTCAGTCTCAAAACAAACTGACAGCTGATAGTATTCTATCACCTTTCACTAAGATTTTCAGTAGGATTTCAGTGAAATGACGACTTTGTTGGAAATGTTTGGGTCTCAACTGGCAGATCTCAGAAGTAGTAATTTAGAAGCCTACTAGTTCGCACACTGACGTAAACCAAGGTTTTCATTTCACCTACTATCAACATCATCACCATTATCATCATCCATCTTCCAGTCAAGTTAACTAAGAATCAAGAATACTGATCAGTTTCAAATGGGATGACCTTTAGTGTTTCAGTCATTTTTACTGAAATTACAATAGCATCACATAAAGAATCCAGCAGGTGTTCTTACAACCTGTAGGGTGAAATAAGACTGTATATACTTCTGGGTTTATACAAACTCTGGATAAGTGTGTAGTATACAGGAAGGCCACCATAAAACTAACAATTCATTTGATACGTCATTTTGTGAATTCTTTCTCCTTCACGTTCTCCAGTGGAACATAGGGCTTCAAGCTAGTGGCTTGAAGTTTCTGTAGCAGTATTTATTTTATGGGATGGGGTTGTTAGCCTCATGCCCAACTTTTCCTCTTTACCATCATTATTTCTGGCTTAGCGAGGTGAAGGAGTGCGTCGGTGGCCAGAGATCGAACCCCGGACCATGTGCATGGTCAGTGAGTGTCCTAACCGCTATGCCACCGACGCACAAAAAGCCAGCAACACCCAGTATTCCCAGCCGGTCACCCATGAAACTACTAACCGGACCCAACGTTGCTTAACTTCGGTGATCGGACGAGAACCGGTGCTTTCATTTCATTTTCTAAAAACGGTCTAGTAATGAATGTAAGGATAACAGGATCTGGATTTAGAGTCCCCTATCGACTGATTCTTACTATTCAATAGTAAAATAAATTATAAGAAAGCAATTTATGTATTCATTGACGGTTTCGCCTTTGACTACTCAAAGCTGACTTTCTGACTCACGTTGATAACCATTTTGAAGATGAAATTGATTCAGTGGCTTGAAATGCTATTTCATTTAGCTGAAACATTGTTTGATAAACACTTTTGCCTTATTTTCCTGGTTTTCAAACAGTTCATCTTTTCAAACTTTATCTAAACGCATAATAACAAAATGTCCAAGGGTCATAGTAAAGTGTAAGGGTGTAGATGTGTCGTTAGTATATAACATTTGACTAGCCTTCTTCAATCCGATGTGCTGTAGTACCCCTCTTAACCGGTAGGTAAGCTTACCTGTAAGTAATGATAACGAAACGCAAATCAAAACGCCTAATGGTCTGCTAGCTTGCCTTGTAACCAGAAGGTCCTGGGTCCGAACCTCAGCCGGTGCGTACTGAAGAGGAGTCCAAACTAGGACGAAATAGCTGTCCAGTACTCCCTGCAGGTTTCCCAATGCTGCTCTAACCGATGTCAGCTCATGACGAAATCCTTTAACCAAAAAGACAATTATTTTTGCAATATGTTCAAAAGGGCAGTATATTTGAATGTGGTAAAGCATGAGATTATTTTAGGGAAGGTTTTTCAAAATAATGAAGGATTTTGTATTTCCCAATGAATGAAAAACAAAACGATATTGTTTTTACTGACGTTTCGCTAATTAATGCTAATAGCTTTATCAAAGTATTAATTATAATAAGGTTTTTCGCAAACTTAGCTGACTAGCATAATTGAGCTTGCAAGTTTTTGAGTAGGCGTGTGTACCAGTACAACGAAAATGCGAACACAGTGTCTAGTCCTATTTAGACGTGAGTTCACTTAAACAAAGCTTTTTAAACAACTTAAATATCCAAAGACGATTCAAAAGTTCGTTGAGTTAGTTATTTAGTACTTCATTCTAATATATTTGATATTACCGAAACCAACGAGCTGACAGAAGAAGTAATAAAGACACGACTTCAAGTGAATGTAAAGAAGACAGAGATGATGAAGACATATAACCGACAGCAAGCATCAGTCAACATGATTAGGAAAATTTTGAAGTAAATTACTTCTTCCAGCTATGTGGACAACATCGTTCCAGTTACAAGCTGCACGGGTAAGGACGTCAAAGCCAGTATCAGAAAGTTGAATTTTCCCGCATTCAGCATAAAGAACAAGACTTAAATTTTCAACACTAATGTCAATCTGGTGCTTCTGTATGCTTCTGACACAAGACACAACAGCCAACAAAAGCATTTTCAACAGTCTACTGACTTTTAGCATTAGCTGTCGTCACTTTGTGTTGAAAATCACATGGCTAAACAGAAAGGATAAGCAACGAGGAGCTCTAACAACCAACCAACCAAATACTTATTGTCCAACAAATATGCCAGAAAAAAATGAAGATGTGTTGGAGACCCTCTGAGGAGACCCGTTGACTGACATCACACGCCAAACAGCGAGTTGGGTGTGGATACTACGGTGACCTGGAAGATATCGTGTTAGGATGAGATGAAAGTTTATGGACAGTCGTGCGGCCAGGTTAAAAAGGACTGCAGAGTGGAATGGAGATACGGTGTTGAAGCCGTATGTTCCATATGGAACCCAACGGAATAATAATGATTTTTATAACCCTGGTCGTATTTTCGTACCAGGGAGGTGCACTAAGAAATTATGCTTTATTACAGGATTTTAGGAGATTATTATCAGGAATGAGAGTAAATTCATTCTTATCAATTGAGAATTTACTTATTATTTTACCAGTAGTATTTTTAAATGAATATTTTACTTCCAATAAAATTACTTCTTGTGTTTCAATAAGATGAATACCAAATAGTATGACGCATCATATAGTATGTGCGTCGGTGGCACAGTGGTTAGGATTCTCGCCGACCATGCACATAGTCCAAGGTTCGATCTCCTGCCGACCCACATCTGATATCTATGGTCGGTCTGAGAAATTTGGGCTACCGATATCCATGCTGAAAATTCCATACTTGTACCGAAAATAGGGTGTGGAATCAAGCTGTAATAAAAAAAATTATATCTGTGAGACATATCATTAAAATTGATCAAGATTTAAGCATGAGTTATATATTTTATCTGAAATGAACTGTTTACTTAGTCTCTTAAGCAATTTGTTTTTGGTGGATTTGAATTAAAGACTAATAATTGATATCTATAGATATGTGTAGGCGTATATGAGTGAACTCGTTTATATTGTGACTGATGAAAGAACTCGGAGGACAAGTCAACATTCTATGTATATTTAATTAACTTGAAATATTTAAAATATTAAATGACAAGCTTAACAAAATTTATGTATTTCACGTGCATAAAATCTAAATTTTAGCTGACTTCTAGAAGAAAAAGAAATTTGTTTTACAAGGCATTGAAGTTTGACCTACATAATAATAAGGGGAAGTACACGTTCATTTTAGAAGTCGGAAAGTTGTAAACTGAATCTCTAGTAAAATAACACCTACGGACTAATAAATACTCTCAGAAATGAATTTTTTAAAATTCTTTTTATACATCTATGTTTTCTACTGCGTTTTGCATGGTTTCACATGATAACAACAACATTGCATACTTGCACGCATAGGACTTAGTCAACGCTGAAGACTAGGCAGCACAATAGTGGTTGCACCCTATCAACAAATCAGTGTATCCAACTCTCTTTCCTTAAGGAGATAAAATGGAGGTTGATTACCTTTAACCATTAGAGAAGAAAATGATATCAAAATTCAAAATGAACTTCCCGTAAGTACCTTGTGGAACATAGGACTTCAGCTGCATATCTCTGTTTCATCTTGTTTTCTGTCGTCGTCTTTGGCTGGCTTCATGATTGTGCATAAGCTCTCGTCTACTTCTCATACCATCTCCTTCATGTGACCCTCGGACTCACCCTTGACTTATGGTTCTCCAGTAGAGTTCCACTCGAGATAACCAAATCAGGATATTGACAGTCCATTGGTTTCAGTCTTCATATGACTCGGAGAACATAGTTTTTCTCACTTGTGTAGTGAATTTGGTACGTATTTTAAGTCAATGAAGGTTTCTTTTTAACTATATTTTTAAAAAGTCACTTCGATACCATATTCTTAGGCTGAAATTTTTAGCGCTTTAAATGAAGTATGTTTACTATAATGAAGTTCAGCAACCTTACAAAAATCTGATTTACAGTTAATATTCAAACGATGTTAACTGAATGTCTTCTTGTTTAATGAGAAGTTATATCATCAAAATGAAATGAGGTTATTGCTGGTTAAATACAGGCTAAGTGAATTGTTGAACCTGATCATAATCAACTGTTCGTTCATGTTTGTCTTAATGATAGTAGCCAACACATATTAATTATCAAATGACAGAGCATAAGCTATGCAGAGAAGACAAAAGTGTATTGCCTTTGACAGATAGTTCTTCGAATTGTAGATTATTTTGTAGGAAGCGTTTGCTGAGATATAATGACAAATAGGTTAACAAGGTGTTCGATTATTGCAGAAGATTACGTGAATTGAAATACGTACATAGAAGTGTTCAGATGCGGGATCTTGTCCTTAAGGCCTCTGCAGACCTGGTCATTCATTGTGTATCCCGCCTAAAAAAACGGTGTGAGGAACTGCCTGCCAAAGGCAATACACTTTCGTCTCCTTTGTACTGCTGAAGCTCTAGCCATTCAGAGAGAGGGCTATTGCATAATTCCATATTTTCCTCCGTTTCTATGTACATACACCTTAATTAAAACTCATTCATTAAATTTTTCACCTTATTACGCAGCTCTATCACATGTATTCAACTCCTCTTATGCATCGACTGATTTAAATAACCATGCTTATGAAAACTCATAACTTTTGTTACTACACTCTCTCGTAAAGAAAATTGTATATAAATGAGACTGTAGAGCTAAAATAAATGGATTCACTAAAAATAGCCTCTTCGATGAGATTCGTGTTTTGTTTTCAATCATGTCTGGATGGGTACATATTCGTAAACTGAAAAGAAAGCAGAGGTATACATCCAAAAAAATACTGGAAATAGGTTTTTTAATTATGAGTCTATATTGTGTGTGTGATTAGGCGATTTCACAGCCGAATTTCCAAACACTAGCATTACGTAACTCAATACTATCTCATCTCGTTGAAAAAGGACACCAGGCTGACATAAACACAGTATTTAAAGTTACTTATCGTATTTCAGTCAACCTTTTGCATACTTTACGAGTACGACTTTCACATCCCACGGAGGCGATCAAAATTCATTTGAACAAGCAAAATCTGTGAGCTCAAAAGAAACTTGCACAACCCTTCCCTTTACCGTGGCCAGTCACATAATATGTATAAAATTTTACAAATTATTTTCTCTTACTCTTGTAACTATCAGCTGACATCGTTATTATATTATGTTGACTACCCTAACTGAGTCAACTTATTTGTATCTTAAACTTCTTGCTTAACTCATCCATCTACTTTTCTTATCCTTATTTCGATAACTATTGATAACTTATTGTCAACTTCTACAAATCAACTGGTTTTGAATCCCTTAAGCATTTCATTCCTTTCTATACTTTAAACCAATCATTCTCATTGATGTTAGCTAAAAGTGGAATTCAAAAATCCCATTCTGAGTTATTTAATGCTTTAGATTGGTTTTTATTGATTTTTGATTACAGCTTGATTCCACACCGTATTTTTGGTACAGGTATGGAATTTTCAGCATGTGATATCGGTAGTCCGAATTTCGCAGGCCGACCATAGATATCAGGTGTGGGTCGGCATGGGATCGAACTCCGGACCATATGCATGGTCGGCGGGAGTCTTAAACACTGTCCCACCGGCGCACATGATTTATGCAAAGCAAGAAGAATTGGAGCAGGCTGTACATTTATAAATCCATTAATTTTAGCATTAAGTAATCAGTAAACTCCTTAGGGACTCTTCAGGAGGATATACTTGCATTTTTTTAGTTAAATGCTCCCACTGAAACATCAAACCACCCATTATTTTAAGCGTCAGGGCTGCCATCCACTTGAATCTTCAGACAAACGAGACTCCTCTCATGTTTAACAGCTTTTAGCCGTTGGCTCAAATTTTGAATAAGGCATTAAAAAGAC